GGGGAGAGAGCCGGAGTCCGCCCCCTCCAGCCATGTCACTCGGCAAGCGTTGGCTCTCGCCAGCACAGAGGCCATGGGGGCAGGGGGTCCGCAGGGGTCCCCCTTGGAGGAGTTACCCGCAGTGCAGGTGGTCCTTCAAGAAGTCCAGCAACCTGCTAAGCCACGGGGAAACACACAGTGGAGCCAAGCCCCACGCCTGCGAGTTCTGCGGCAAAGCCTACTCTCTCCAGCCATGTCACTCGGCAAGCGTTGGCTCTCGCCAGCACAGAGGCCATGGGGGCAGGGGGTCCGCAGGGGTCCCCCTTGGAGGAGTTACCCGCAGTGCAGGTGGTCCTTCAAGAAGTCCAGCAACCTGCTAAGCCACGGGGAAACACACAGTGGAGCCAAGCCCCACGCCTGCGAGTTCTGCGGCAAAGCCTACTCTCACCAGGGCACGCTGCAGCAGCACCGCCGCCTGCACGCGGGTGAGCGGCCCTACGAGTGCCCCTTCTGCGCCAAAACCTACACCTGGTCCTCGGACGACCGCAAGCACATTGCACCCACACGGGTGAGAGGCCCTACAGCTGTGCTGACTGCGGGAAGGCCTTCACCCGCTCCTCCGCAAGCACCAGTGCAACACGCACCTCAACAACAAGCCCTTCCCCTGCCCCGACTGCGGGCACACCTTCAACGAGCCCCTCTCCCTGCTCCGCCATCAGCGGGGACACTTCGGGGCCACGCCGTTCCCCTGCCCTGTTACTTATTTCTGAGCGCTCTCCCTCCAGGAAGAGAGGATCCCAGCACGGGATCCATCTTCCTGCCCCTGGCAAGGCTGAGCACCCTGCCCCGGCCACGCAAAGGCGCTGCATGCGTTTCACGGGGCGGTGAAAACCCCGACACCCCTATGGGTTAAGCAAATACATACCGGGTTTAAATTCCACATGGAAACGGGCAAGGAAAACCAAACCGAAGCCTGAACCCTCCTGTGCTGCCAATGTGATGAGCACTGCAAAACACAACCCTTTCCTTTCACGCAGAGTACGCTGGATACGGTAATTACAGGCCAAGTATTTGCACCCCTCGCTCTCCTCCCAGGGGAGCCTGTTCCAAAGCAGAAGTGCACTGAGTGTTTCTACAGCAATAAGCTGCTTTCTGAGACCAAGAACAGGGACTAGACAGTTGGTAAAAATGGCTTTTCTCAGGTACCTGATAGCTGAGGCAATTAAAAGAAAATTAAACTGACATTTCTAACTTGTACTGTAAGAGAGATGTGCAGCGGTGAAATAATTAAAAGTTACTGATGGGAACATCCTGTTCTCACCCATCTGTTGCGAAGAACAAAAGGGCAAGAAGCATTTTTGGCTTTTTTTTCCTTTCTCTCTCTTTCTTGATAATTAATTGCTAGTTATTGTTGCACCCAAATGACGACAGAGATATTTAGTGGTTGGTACCTGGTTTATCCAGCCTCACTCGGTGACAAACAACATTTTTCCAGCCAGATTCTCCTGCTCAAGTTATTCACATGAAGGGCTCAGAGCTTCATTTTCAGCACTTGTCTGAAAGGTCTTTCCAGCTGCCCAGGAGCAGCTCCATGATGGGACTGCAGTCCCATCCATTGCTGTCTCTTACTGTCCAGCATCATTTGCTTCCCCACCAGTTACACTGGTGTACGAGCTGCATCTGAGCCTCTCGGGCAGGGGAAGTGGTCCTCTGGATTGGAACCCACCTTGGAGCATCCTCATGTAGATAGAGCTTATGCTGCCTGCTCCTCCCCAGAGCTCAGCTGGCCACCTCCGGAAAGGGACTTCCCAGCTGTTCTTCACACCTCCATGAACCGCTGCGGAGGTACCTGCAGCTACCGTGGCAACACAGCGCTCGGGAAGGAAGAGTCACCCCCGGCCTGAGCGCCCCATGGGACCAGAGGTGGGCCTGAAAGACAAGGAATGGCCAGGGGACACAGCAGCTGTGCCTTGCCGACCTCTTCATGGCAGCAAGGGACCTGGCACATGTGAGAAAAGAGAAAGACCCTTCCACTTTTCTCATTAGCTAAAAGAAAAGAGTGATATTTATTAAGTGCCTGCTCACTGGATGCTAGCGTGGTCAAAATCCAAGTCCCAGGATGCTCTTCACATGAACCTCACACTTCTTGACACAACCCCAAGTCATCCTTGCCCTTCAGCCCATCACCCTGGGGCACCCCTGCCTCTGGCCCTTCCTGCCACCTGCTATGCCAGCCCAGCGCCAGGTTCATTTGCAGGAGACAACAGTAGTATAGGAAAATTTCTGATGTTTCCTGAGTCAGAGCATCACCGGGTTTTAGTCTCTCTCATGCAAAGCGAGGCTGAGCACACCCTGGGCTGGCGTTTAGCACTGACCTTCTGGAAGGGAGAACAGGGCTCTGTGTGGTTTTAGGACATGCATCCCCTTCGCCCACAACATGAGCAGGTGAGGGATGAAGCCCAGAACCGTAGCGGGTACGTGCTGCTCCAGAGTCCGTATCACTCTGCTTCAGCCTGTCCAACCTCCTGCATGCAAGCTCTTTAAGGAAGGGTTTGGGAGCCAGTCTGGAAGAATAAGGAAGGTGCATGCTAGGCTGACTCCATCATTTCCACTGCCGGGGCGGTAGTCATGTTTTATAGGTATGTACACAGTCAGCCAGCAAAATCTTTACAAGACAAGACAGAAAAGTCACTTAAAACTCTTCCTCAAGGGTGTTTCCTGATGACAGAGCAAAAAAGCAATTATAGCAAACTGTGGAATAAAAAGGAAGTCAGGTCAAAAGACAGGTGAGTGCACAATGCACTCAGCAAGGCTCTGCACTGGAAATTGCTAAAAGCCCCCCAAAATTGCTTCCCCCTTTTAGAAGTCTGAATAAAACACATCAAGCTAGGCCTTTCCTCACTCAGAGTAGACTGTCTGCCATCTCAATGGCAGCAAGAAATCGCATCAATTTGAGGGAGCACACCCAAAAAGAGAGCTGTCCTTGTTTCCAGTTTGCAGAGGAGCAGAGGTCTTTCACCTTGCCGCCTTAGTGGGTCTGACCTTTACAACAACATTGCTGCCAGCATTACAGCCCTGCACTTTGGGAAGATGTCCCGCATCGCTTGGATGTTGCTTCTGGATTTCTTATTCTGCCCTTCACGGCGGTAAAAACCTGCTATAGAACTGAGCCCTGGTCCCAGACCACCTGGCCATGCAGTGCTATTGAAGGCATGTAAATATATCTGTAAATGATGATACATAAATGTGCTTATAATAAATAAATGTGCTTGTATTGTAGTAGTATTGTAGCTGCCAAGGACTGTCCAGAGTGGGGGACCCTAGCTTTATTTTTTTACTCTTGCAGTAATTACTGTCTGATCATTACAAACTGGATTCTGTGTCATAGTATGTGAACAGAGAAGAAAAAAATGTACTTAAAAAGGGGGATATTCTTTCTGTTTACATGAACTCCCCAGTCCTGGAGCTATTTTAAAGCTGTTGTTATATCTCAAGTGAATTCACTGGAAATAAATACTCTATATCTACTCATGTATGCCATAAACAGTCTAAAACAAAATCTCTTGTGCTTTTAGTTCACATGTGCTGCTGTGGTCTTGAGCAAATGCGAGTATTTGTACAGATGCATAGCGTACTTCAGTGTCTATTACTGTATGCAAAGACTGCATCTGCACATGTCCAGAAGTGAAGCAGGACATGAGGTCTTGCAACTACTCGCAGATGTCTTCCTGTACCTCAACCCAAGCCTGCAGGTATCCCGAGCGATGAGTTTTGGTACGTGAGAAGCAAAGGCTGGTGGGAGGCTTCACAGTGAGTGTGCAGGCAGCCTTGTCTCAGCAGGGTTTCCACCTGTGGGACCACAGTCACAAACACAGACCTCAGCTTTCTCCACGTACTGCACTTCTGTCGTGCTCGCACGCTGCAGTGCTGTAACCGGGAGCTGACGTGCAGGAGGAGACAGGACCAACTAACCATCCGTACTTAGGAAACACAGGCCCTGACCTCCCGGCTCTCTGAGAAGGAAGCACCTCCTAAAGCACACTGCACCAGGCGAAAAACAAGCCCAGTCCGCTGCATTTGGCAGCAGCAGCCAAGGCAGTGTGGTGTAAGGGCCCGGATTTTCCCACAGTGCTCCAGCACAGCCAACCTTTCTGTCAAGGTCAGCTTTCATCCAGTAGATGTAACACTGTGCCAGCAGAAATCCTTCCGTGGGGTTGCACTGAACCACGTTACAGAGTACAGACTCTTCTCAATGCAAAAGTCAATGCCTTCTTTTTTTCAGGCTCCTGGGGCAAACCATTTTGCACAGTCAGCAGACAGACTTCCACAAGTGAGTTGTCATCTTCTTTTTAAACAAGTAAGGTATAAGTATGAAATCCAGCTAACAGTCCAAGAGCTTCTTAAATGCAAGTACTAAGCCATACATACTAGCAATCTTCCTAAGAGGTCCCACAAGGAAGCTCAGTTAGATGACACTTTAATCTTGGGCTCTGGGAGATTGAATGCTCTATCATACCTTCTCCCAATTCCCTTTCCCAAACAATGAAAACAAGTCATTCATCACTCACACCACTTACCAAGCAAAAGTCTTCAGACCAAATCCTTTAGTTTTATAACAACTGCTGACACCTCAGGTTTTAGAAACTCCTCTTTCTAAATTGCTGTCAGTCTACCAGGCAATCCAAAAGAACCTGCCGAAGTCACTATACCATCCCTGCTGACACCACCAGCAGTACTTTCAGGAGCAGCAACAATGGTCAAGGTATTGAGGAAGAAGAAAATTATCACAACCTCTTTCAAGCAGGAAAACAGAGGCTGGGCAAGCAGGGCAGCAAAACAGGCTGACTCTTTTGGGGTAAAACTTATCACACTCAACAAAGAACATCCTTGCACCAAGGAAGATGTTTCTTTTTAAAACATGCCAGGTAGTTACCGGGAATAGCTGTTAAATGGCAAGTTAGTGGCTAGGCTACCTTCCTGTTACCTGTGCATGGCTCTGAGCCCAGGGACCTATTCCTTCAGAGTCCCTTGCAGCCAACAAGATGTGTGCTGGTAGCTTGTACAGAAACAGAATAAATCTGCTCAGAATAAATCACTACTCCTGCTTTCAGATTTGAAGCACGTAAGCAATGATTAAGACAAAACCCTTAATGAGAAAAGGAGCTGATAGCTCTGATGTTGTCTTCTAGCAGATAAACAAGAGGAAAGCCATTACATGAACTGCATGAGCACACACCCTCCCCTGGAAAACAACATTCCCACGTAGTAGGGGGCAGTTCAGCAGCACAGCCATCCTACAGTGAGTTTACAGGTGGGCTGCACTCTGCCGCAGAGACCTGTATTACCTGCTTCATGGGCTAGCTCCCATTCAGTGGTTGCCCTCTTAAGACGACTCTAACCTTGCACTGGCCCACAATTTTTTAACTTCTCAAAGCATCAGACACAGCTGGGAACACCAAAATAAAAACATTGTTTTCCTTTCTACTTCCAGTATGTTATCCTAGTGAAATGCTATTCATCTGCCCTTCTGTTGGTGAGATCTCAGCCCCTGCTTGTTTTCAGTGTGTAAGTAGGAGAACCACAGTGGGGGCTCCTTATGCCAACAGAAACTTTACAAGATCAGAGGCAGATCACCACATGATGAAGCCTCACTTTAAATAAAAGCTGCCTACTCCAGAGATTTCAATGCCCTTCGCTCAGATTAATTGACAAACGATGGATTGCTTAGTGCACCCTGTTTACATCAAAGACTCCTGCTTCAGACTCCTCC